TGCACGCCCGCCCGTGGCCTCCTTTTTCGGGACACCTCGCGAGTCTTCTCTTTCTCCGGGAACGCTACCACGATACGCGTCACCTCCTAATATCGCGGCGATCCCGTGATGTTTAAATCCGCGCGGATTTGTTTTGTGGGTTTAACCCCGTTATCGGAGCCGTTAGAAATAGATCGGGATCGTTTGAGTCCGCCGGTGGTTAGATTTGCGAGGTTTCGCGGGGCAAGTTTGCGTTGTTCGCGTGGTTCGAGAATAGGAATTGGGAGGATCGAGAAGGTGTCGGGTTGATTTATTACATTATTATCGTTAAAGTTATAGCTCATATAATAATCGTAGATTACCGTTATAGCAGATTATTGTTATAGTCGGCTATTAATAAGTAAGCAAGCAACACGGCCCGTAGGATAATATTCTTCTGAAAACGAAACCTGTTGTGTTACAATAATATTTGTCACCGCTCGCCTTCAACTTCTATCGTAGAAGCGATATCGCTCCCATTCCAGTGCACCGAAGGTTGCCGACGGAAGAAATATCGATAAATGTCATTTGTAAAAACAAACGTGTCTCGGAGTGTTTCTGTACGCGGCCGATATTCAAAGACTACGGGCGTATCTCCGGTTCAGTATCTCTTTCGTAACAACCTGTAGATTATAACAGCCGAAAGATTGACGAGCCCACGCCGTGACCGCCAAGTCACTGGAATGATACTGCGAATCATAGAATGGAACAAGAAGATAGATGAAGCGTGCCCGCATGAAGATAAATGAACGTTGCGCCGCGCGCGTATCGCTATAATTGTAACAAAGTAATTGATTCTTTTTTCCCTTTTATCCTCGCGGGTTTCCTGTCTCCGTTCAACGAACCGTGGCGTCGCTCGTAAAAACTCCTGGGCGCGCAGATTACGGGCTTTCTTCCGTTATCGGGAGTTCCGCGACGGATATTGCACCGTAACGCTTCGAAGCCGCGCGATTCGATACCCTTCGTTTCCGCTTTTCGTCGGCGCGCATGACTCGCGAATCTCGAATCGCCCGCGACATTTCAACGGTGGAACAGATCGCCGCTAAATGCCGCGACGAATCGCCGCGCGGCGTTCGATAATACTGCGCGGAAAAATCCGTGACGCGAAACAACGCCCAGGTGAATCGTCTCGAGGCGATCGCGCCAGGAATTTTCTAAAACGCGACCACTTTACAGCGAGAAGCAGCCTTCTTCTTCAGTTCCCGCGGTGGCGGCAGCAACGAGCGACAGAAAAACTTGTTTAACCGGTAAATGAAATCGCGCAGCTCCTCGGTGGCTCTTCAATCTTCCGCGATGTACTACGAAATCCCCGATAACCGAGATTCTCCGCGGCAGTCCGCCGGGGGTACGCGGCTACCCTAAGTTTTCGGGTTCTCGTGCAACTTTGCTCTCGAGACTTCGAGATTTTCGGGCTCCCGCGTATCTCTGCAGTCTTCTATCGAAGAACCAGCGGTCGGAGGTCCCGTGGTTCGCGGTTGGGACGGGAAACAGGTAAAACCCTGGCTAAAGTAGGATAACCGGCGAATGAAATCGACCGAACGTAATGTACAGCGGAATGCAAGTCTGACGGGTCAGTTCTCGCGTTATTCGCGACGCTGATTTCCTATTCGTCGATGCGTTTACGCGTACCAAATGAAAACTATAAACAAAACTTACAGTTAAGGACTTAACTGCCTCTGCGTCGTCTCAGTGCTTTTATCTCGAACAGCGCCCGGTATCTTGCGATAGCGTGTTCCACGCCGGCGAACTTAGTTGCATTAAAATGTGCAGTTCTTGCTCGAGCAGAAAAAAAGACGAGACGTGTAACACGCGACGCTCAGAATTCTCGTGTAGTCTCACATTCCCGGAGATTTCTTTCGATCCTCGAAGTCTAGTTTTTCCCGATGGAGGACGATAGCCTCCGAGAATCGTCGCGTTAAGGTATGCAAAAGCGTTTCCGACGCATTCGATGGAGACCGGCCGCTTCCGCGATCGCGGCGCGAGGCATTAGCCTGGCGCCGGCGAGACCGTACCCGCGGCAGCTCGTTACAAAGCGCCGCGGAAAACGTATTTCCCGGTGCAGCCTATACGCGCCGATCCCGATGCCGCGACGCCCGGTCCGCGCGAATCGAAGCAAACATCGGGTTAATTAACTTCCGAGCGACGCCGGAATGAGACGCCGGTGTTTGTCCGCGCGCGCACGCTCGCGTTGTATGTATCGCCACCGGCGTGTAATTCATTAATTTCGGGCAAACGGATCGCCGGGCGTGTTTGTAAGGCAGCCCTCCGCGCCGCTGTAAATAATTCCCGCGCGAGGGGGCGGGCGAGACGCGGAACCCGATGCTCGGAGGCTCTCTCCGGCGAACCCCGACGTTGCAAAGTAAATACTCGCGTTCAATGGCGATTCAAGGAACGCTCGGGTCGCTTATTTATTTTCCCATCGCTGTTGGCCCGTTTAGTATGCCGCGCGCGCGCCGCGTCGCATATACCGATAAAATTGCACTTTTGAGCACGTACGAGGATAACAGTGAACGTACGCGATCGGGCGACACCCGTCGCTTTATGAGGAAGGAACGGGGACGAAAAGTGGCCCGGGAGGAAGGGTCGCGCGGTGGCACGCTTACAGAGCTGCCAGAGCTGTAGGGTACAGGCTATTCTATATGTGATCGAACATGTATCCGGAATAGATAGAAGCGATTCTGCGGTTTGTAGAATGTATGGAATGTGTTGATCGGAGATGAGATGGTGGCAGGGTTCAGCCATCTAAACTTTTACGAAGATGAATGAGCGATACGATGGGCGATTCCGAAGAATCGAATGTATCGTGTCAGTTGTATTTCGCACGTTGAATGCCATGGGAGTCTTCGGTGACGGAACATAATT